AGAGAGAGAGAGAGAGAGAGAGAGAGAGAGAGAGAGAGAGAGAGAGAGAGAACCTAACAAGGCCAAATAACTAAACTTTAAGATTATGGAGACCTAAAATGTTTCACACCAGAGCCAAATTATCTAGGGCTATTTTTAGTTCTTTTGAAGGCCATTCACTGCCCACACCTCTGTCTGACCCAACATCCTAGTGACCACCAAAATCTTACAGTGTATTCTCAGCTGGCCATTAGCTTCTACGAATCCCAGCACTACAGCTATGATAAGCAGCACCTGCAGACATTCCCCTGCTTTTCTGTGACACAGCTGTGGCCCCCACCATTGCATCCTGTAAACACTCTGATTTATGACTTTCTTTGTTCTGCAAGCAATAAAACATCATCATGTATCCACTTCCAAGGTGGAGGCGGTACTTGGGGGGAGCTTGAATCCATGTTCCTGGGCCTGGGCATGCATATCTGACTACAGAGTGAACTGCTAAACTGGGACAAGAGCTAAGTTTTTGGGTTAGCACCTGTGGGTCTTTGCGGAAGTAGCATTTCATCGATGTCTTAAGCACTAGGCTGTCAAGCTGGGGTTAAGGGGAGCCTGAATACTGTTTAAAAAGGAGAAAGCTGCAGTTGGACTGTGTGTGAGAAGAGTCCACATTAGCAGCATCTCCCACAAGTCTGTGTTTATGTCACCTCATCTCTTGTCTGTTTCCTGTTCACTTCCTGTCCCGATAGGTCCTTTCTTCTCTGGGAATTGCTGTGGTGTAGCTAAATGTCACCCAGAGGCCCTCGTGTTAAAGGTTTCTTTCTCATCCTGGCACTGGCAGGAGATGGTGGCACCTTTAAGAGGGGGGGGGGCTAGTCTTTAGGTCATTGAGGTACACCCTTGAAGGGGATTATGAGACTCCAGCTGTTTCCTCTTTCGATCTCTTTTCCCAGCTAGACACGATTGCTTCACCAGGGGCCTGAAGCAGTAGGACCAACTGCCCATGACCAGCACAGTGAGCCAAAGGACCCTCCTCTCCTAGAGTGACTAGCTCAGGGCTTCTGTGACAGTGATATAAAGCTCACTAATGCAGGAGCAGTGTTGGTCATTTCAGCTACGTGTTCAAGGCACTTTGGGTTCATGCTTTCCTTTCTGAAATCGCACTGCCAATCAATCTCAAGTGTCCTACAAAAAAAAAAATAGGCAGGTACTTTTGTATTATTTTTTTTTCTGTTGCTGTAATAATTAAAAAAAAAATGCCAAAGATAACTTCTAAAAGGAAGAGTGCATTTGGCTTACAGTTCTAGAGGGACAAGAGTCCTCACCATCACCATCACAGCAGGAAGGAATGGCAGAAGGTAGATTTGGAGGCTGGACAGGGAAGCGAAGAGTTCACATCTTGAACCAAAGCACGAAGCAGAGAGAGTGACCTGGAAATGGAACAGATACTTTCTTGAAGCCAGCCTCCAGGGACATACTTCTCCCAACATGGTTGTGCCCGTTGTGGAATAATCTTTTTATACACTGTGAAGATGTGTCTTTGTCAAGGTGCCTTCTGATTGGTTTAGTCAAGAGCCAAAGGGCCAATAGCTAGGCAGGAGATATAGGTGGGACTTCCAGGCACAGAGAGGACTCTGGGAAGAAGAGAGGCAGAGAAGCCAGCCAGACGCAGAACAAGTCAGACACACAGAATGGGATAGAGGTAAAAGCCATGTGGTAGAATGTAGATTAATAAAAATATGGTTAATTTAAGTTATAGGAGCTAGTTAGGAACAAGTCTAAGCTATAGGCCAAGCTTTCATAATTAATAAGAAGTCTCCTTGTCATTATTTGTGAACTGGCTGGTGGGACAGAAAAGACTCATTTCATGTGCCTCCTAAACCTCCCCAAATAATGCAACCATGGAGATGGAGTGTTCAGATATCTAAGGCTATTAATTTATAAAGAGAAGAGGGTTATCTGGTTTACAATTTACAGATATAAATCAGACTGAATGGCTTATTAATTTGGCTTCTGGTGGAGGGTACCAGATGGCAAGGGTATGCCAAAGCAACCAGCTAATAGTAAAAGCCAGGAAGTGGAAAGAGACTGAGAGACAAGAACCCCACAGTCCCCTTTGAGGGTATATCCTCAGTAGTCTAAGGTCCTCCCAATAGGCACTACCTCTTAAAAAGCCACAGCACCTC